GCGGACCCATCAAGGGCAGTTGCCTTTGATTTGGCAATCCGACGACATAGTTCTCGCCCGAGTCGTCGCTGCTGGCGCGCCAAAGGCTCCTGAAAGCTGAAGGAGGAAGAATCCCAAGAGCGCTAAATGGAAGTGCATTTTGTGTACAGATTTTTTTCTCTTGAGAAAAAAATTCTTATGATTTATAGTGGTTTGTAGTTATCAAGCTCCTTTTGATGGTTTTTCTGTTGGTTGATCTAGAAGGCAGGATGCGGCAAGCTGATGGGTCTACAGTTTATATGCGCTCACGAAGCTCACCTACTCCATGACGGATTGTTACTCGATGAGGTGAGGATCAAGGCTTCAGTTGGCTGGATGCAAGGATGTTCCAGTCGCATTACGCCAAAAGCCACTGGCACAAGCCTAAACAGGCCTCACTGAACAAGACTTCCATCGATCGAAGCCTTGAAGGTCACGACGGTTGTGGCTCAGAGCTTCTGCCGCCTTCTTGTGTGACATCAGCAGATAGCTTGATCCTTGGAGTATAGGGCTAGAGCCTAGGACTCTGTTGTTGATTCACAAGCTTGTGGCTAGAGGGAGAATCGGTATTTCCCAAGACCAGTGGTCTAGCATTTCGAGATTCAGTAGTTTTTGCTGCACTGCCCACTGTCAGTCACCCTCTCTACATATTTCCATCAATTAATGCAATTATTACTTACCCACAGCGTGAATCTTGAGAGCGTTCTTGCTGTCTGGAAGGAGGGATCTCCTCCATGGTGAACTGATTGTTGCACGTGTACAAACTGCTAACCTGGAGTGCCAGGGAAGTTGAGAAGCGGACATATGCGGTAACTTGTAAGGAATGTCCGTGTACATCAAGAACTGCTACGAGGATATGGGGATGATTCTGAACACTCTCTATTGGCGGCGGGAAACTATCTTTTCCGGACCAGCCATTAGAAATTATTAATGCCAATCTGGGGACGGACCCTTATTCCTGTGGCACAGAGGAAATCTTGTGACTCTCAAACAGTTTGAAACCGTAGGTTCACACTTTTCCCACCATGCCAATGATTTTTCTATGGGTTGAGGGATGGAGGATGTGCAAAGCAGGATACAGCGTGCAGACCCAGCTTATATTTCCCCATCTCAAAGGTCAACTGCTCTAAGACCCAGAGTCGGACGGAGTTTTGTTTCCTGAGGAGGAGAGATCAGTTGATGGCATTGGCAATACTTTTTGGAGTCTTATCTGTGATAAGATCTTATCATCCGTGCTACACATGTATCAGGCAGTGAAGAATCTACATAAGACTCTCTCAGCAAGCCTTCCATTGAGACCCCAGTGGCACAGAATATTTAGCTCAGCGCTTCCTTTGCCTGCTTCTCTTATTTCCAGTACACAGATATCACCTTGTTGTGCAGTCTCTTGTACAGATTCTGAACTTTCAAGCATGACAATTTGTCTATTTCTTAATGTGTACTGGTCCTAATCAGGATGCCAAGGAATAATTTGAATGTGGCATCAACTGACATATTGCTTGTGTGGACAACGCATGATGATGTTGAAAGCATGGATGGAACACTGGAAGGAGTGTAGAGATGTCAGAAATAACAACGGTGAGGAGAAGAAGAGGGGAGTGGTGTCTGAAAGCAAGAGGGAGAAAGATAAGGATAACAAGGAGACATTCCAGTTTTTTAAAAACTCAATCCGGGAAAATGACATATAGATGCAATATAAAATATTGGATTGAGAAGGGGTCTTTTCGTCCAGAGTGATGCCCTTGAAATTGTACGGGGGAAGTCGTTGTGATTGATGGAGCCGAGCCCAATTCGCGCGAAGATATAAAGGAGATCCTGTGCAGGCCAAGCGCGAAAGAAAGAAGGTCAGAGATGAGTGGACCACATGCAAGCTGAGATGATTGAGCGTGGAAATAATGCAAACCTTTCTGAAGCATATATCGATCGGTTTTCACCCATCAGGGTGCTTGTGGCGAGCCCATCAAGGGCAGTTGCCTATGATTTCGCAATAGTCCATGTGATCAGGGACTCCTACCGCATACTTCTCAGCCCGATTCGTAGCTGCTGGCGCGCCAAAGGCTCCTGAAACCTGAAGGAGGAAGAATCCTAAGAGCGCTAAATGGAAGTACATTTTATATATAGTTTTTTTCTCTTGAGAAAAGAAAATCCTTATGTTTTATATCAAGCTTCTCTTGATAGTTTCTGTGATGGTTGGTCGAGAAGGCAGGATGCCGCAAGCTGATGGGTCTAGTTTATATGCGCTCCCGAAGCTCACCTACAACTCCATGCCGGATTGGCTTCAGTTGGCTGGATGCTGCTGGATGCAAGAATGTTCAAGCTGCATTACGCCATAAGCCACTGGCACAAGCCTAAACAGGCCTCACTCAACAAGACTTCAATCGATCGAAGCCTCGAAGGTCACGATGGTCGTGGCTCATAGGCTATAGCTCCTGCCACTTTCTTCTCATGTGACATCAGCAATCTTGTTGTAAATACGTGCAACGTATCAAAAATTCAGTACTTTTTGCTGCACTGCCCACTGTCAGTCACCCTCTCTTCAGATTTTCATCAAATAATGCAATTATCACTTACCCACAGCGTGAATTTTGAGAGCGTTCATGCTGTCACATACATGGAAGGAGGAATGGTCTCCTCCATGGTGAACGGATTGTTGTGGGTGTACAAACTGCAAACCTCGAGTCCCAGGGAAGCTAAGAAGCGGACATGTGGGGGCAATGAACCTTGAGGGTTTTATATTCCTTCTCTTCTGGTCTCAACACTCATGAAAGCCTCAAAGGGTCTACCATCTTATGAGCAACAACAAGATATTTCTTTTCAAGGTTTAATCGATTGAATGATTTATCTTTCAGGTTTCATCCTATCATCCGGATGCCATCATAACTAACAACAGCGAGGAGAAAGAGGAGATAGGGGCATCTGAAAGCAAGAGGAGCATGCATACAAAAGATAACCAGAAGATATGGCAATTTTTTAACACTACAGCGGAGAAAATAGCAGAGAAAAGGTGCTGGATTGAGAGGGTATTTTTTTGGTATCCTGTGAATCGTACGGGAGAATCGGTTTTCTTCGAAGGAGCCGATTGGAAATTGCTTGTCGATTACAAGGGTATCCCTGTGAAGTGCAAACGGGATCAAAGAAGTCACGAGAGATAAGTGAACCAGTTGCATACGTATAAGCTGAGATAATTGAGTGGGGAAAGGTACCAACCTATTGTCATCCATCCGCCGGGGGTGCTTGTGACAACGAAAGCCTATGGCAAAGGACAGTTGTTTAGAAGGTCGCAATCCCTCCCGCCATCAACGTCTCCCGAATCATCGTTCGATCGGCGAGTCACTGAACCGGCTGGTGCGCCTAAGGCTGCTTGAAGTTGAAGGAGGAAGAAGCCTAAGAATGCTAAACGGACGAGCATTTTGATTTTGATTTTTGTTTTAATTCTAAAGAAAAGAAAACTCCAGTTGTTCGCGGTTGCAGAAGTTCTTTTTGATTGTAGTTTGTATGTGTGTTGCTGGAGGCAGGGTGTGACGACAGGCGGCTGATGGGCCTCGTTTATATGCCCCCGCGAAGCCCAACAGCTCGCTTCACCGGACGGATTTTTGCTTGATGATGATGTGGATGGAAGCTTCAGTTGTCTGGATGTAAGGATGTACAGGCTGCACTGCCGCCCGAGCCACAAGCCTAAAACAGGCCGTAGTCAACATTACAAGCCTTCAATTTGAACCTAGGTCATGTTGAAAAGCAGTGTACATAGGTGAGGGCTTCCTCTACCTTCTTGTGTGTCACCCGGAGATACAAGCTGAATTCTTGAAGGGTTGTAGGGCCGCCCTGCACCGCCTGCAAGTGTTTGAACAATAATAGCATGTGGTCATCTGGAACCAGGCTTGCTTGTCGGTAATGATGGCAGACATCCTAGTATGAAATCCTGAGCCCATGGCTGGAGGGCGAATCCGTATTTCCCGAGATCAACGACTTGGGATGTGTCGAGGATAAAAATAAAATGAATTAACCCAGTGGTCTTCGCTGCAATGCCCACCCTGCCCATTATCCAACAATCCATACAATCATCACCTAGACAATTATAACCTGCAAGATCAATCTAAAGAAGAGCCTTGTTTTCAAGTATGGGAGTATTTCTCAAGGTCTTGATAGCCTCCTTGGTGTTGCTACAAGGAGCGGTCATGGTCTCCTCGATCCCGGTGAACTTGGAAGAAAACGCGAAGAGTCTTCCGAGATACGTGCCGGACCCTGATCCTAAGGGTGCGCCTTGGTGGGATCCTTCATGCAAGAAAGGTTGCTGATTACCTCGAGAAAAAGGGAACCCTCATGGTGTGTCCACCTTTTCGTTCATCAAAACCGCTCGTAATATGCCATAGGGACTTATAATTCGCGACTTTCTTATCCATATTATAGGTACTGGCGAAGTCATATTTCGAGGCGTCTCTTCGACACCCCGAACTCGATTCTTTCAAACGGCTGCAGTCTCTTCGATGGGCTTGTATGCCTTCCATCCAGAATTCCTGGCTCAGTATGATACCGTATTCTCAATTTTATTCGGAGTTCTATTATTATTATTGAAGTCTTTGCTCTACACATCGCCCAACAAATTTATTTCTATCTGTTCTTGCCTTTATCATCAAAACCCAACCGAAAGAGTTTATTAGTTTGGAGCAAAATGAGAGTTTCTGCATGGATAAACTTTGGGATGTGTGTTTTGTGATTGATCAGATCAGATGGCATAAACCAATCAAGAACCTTTTCGAGAACCAGAGATTCAAATCCGAGTTGTCACGTCCCGTCAGTCGATGAATTGAAAGAGATCATCACCGCATAGAATGGGATCTCCTATTGACTATAGTGATTAATAGTTTATGAGCCAAAAGAGTCTGGGACTGGAGAGAGTGTGTTCAGTTCTACACAGATTTCAGATCAGCAGGTTTCGTATTTTTCAAAGTGGTGGGCAGAAGGAGAAGCAGGGGCTACAATTCTGTGGAGGATTGGCTGTTTTAAGTTTTGCCTTTTACAGACAGCCGATAAAATAGTTGGATGACGTCATACATATTTCCCCAGCCAGCTTGAAAATACACAGGAGCTTCACTAGGGTCAGTCGGCTGGCAAGATGAACCACTTCTCCAGGACTGGTACAATCAACCATCTCGTCAAGCGAACCAAACAAGCCTATCATCCGACTTGCTATCCGACTCAGGCGCGTACAGGCGGTCGTCTGATTGACCACCATCGTCCGTTCCATTCGATCCTTGCAAGTGGTAGTAGTACTCCATCGGGAGAAGTAGTACCAATCCGAATCCGAGCAGGAATCATAACTCTATCATCATCAATCACAAAGAGAAAGATGACGAGTGGAGCCGATGAGAAGAAGCAGCTCAGTTTCCCGGTCACGCCGTATCCGAAAGCGAACCCTCAAGAAAAGATCGTCCGGACGGCGGCGTGTGTGATCATTGGGGACGAGATCCTGAGCGGGAAGACGCTGGACACGAATTCGAATCAGTTTGCATCGTTAGCCTTCAGACTGGGCATCAATCTGAAGAGGATCGAGGTCGTGCCGGACGAGGAAGATGTGATCATCAGCACGATCAGACGGCTCTGTGAACCCGAGAATCAAGTGGATATGATCATTACTAGTGGGGGGATCGGGCCGACTCATGGTGTGTCACTTTCATCCACAAAGAGACGGATGGAGATGTCTATCAGATTTTACTAACTCTCTTGATTTTTGTTTTTTTGATTCAACACAGATGATATCACATATCAATCACTAGCCAAGGTGTTTGATCCCCAAGGAGAACTGGAGTACGACCAAGAGACGATCCGAAGGATGGACGAATACAACGCCCGACGATCGGACACGAAGACGAAGAATGAGGAGCAAAGAAAGGCTCGGCACAGGATGGCCTTATTCCCGAAAAAGCACGCCAAGGTCTTGTTTGTTGAGGCCCATCTGTGGGTCCCTGTCGTCTGTCTCCGCGACAAAATCTTCATCCTTCCCGGAATCCCCAGTCTGTTCCAACAACTCTTGCAAGCTCTTATGTGTAATTACATCTCTCTGCCTCCGGAGACTGATAAACCGCGTCAGTCGACCATTTCCCCACACATTCTCACCCTCTCTCTCTCTCTCTCTCTGTTTACTATCCTGTTGTATAACTGACAACTGACTTTTTTTTTTCGGTCGAGGAATGTTCAGATCGAGTGATCATCCAAACCAAACTTCCCGAATCAATCATTGCACCTACCTTGACCCGGCTCTCAAAGCAACTCAAGGACGAAAAACAAGACATCAAGCTCGGCTCTTATCCTAACTTAATCACCGGGATCGTCAGTATCTCGTTGATTGGCATCGACCTCGAGAAACTTAACTCATTTGCTCAGCTTATTCAACTCGAATTTGATACCCTTTCTTCTTCTTCTGATTCTTCTAAATCTAATCTTAGTAATAATAGTGAAAACAAGTTATAGAGTCCTTTTTTTACATTTGTATCATTATTAAAGCATTCATAATAATTGGGGTTTTCAACATAAAAAGAAGAACAACAGTCTTAGAGATGATAGCCAGGACCTGATTACTTCGGACATACCAGGCTTACTTTTGAGTGCAAGAAGTTATATTTCCAGCAATAGACCAATCTGATTGACTGTAATAAAAACTTGTCCAGATTCAACCACTAGACATATTGTGTTATGAAGAAAGCTTGGACCAATTTCAAAGTTTGCTGTTCCAAAATCATGGCCTTTCACAATTTTGTGTTCATGTTTTTTTCTTCTTTTTTTCTCTCTCCCTTGTGAAATCAAGTGGATGATCACAAACTGCGGGATTAAACCTGTGCTGTGCACTGCAACAGCATAACCTAAAGACTTGGAAATTCTCCAATTGTCCAGCCATTCTTCAAAACACAATACATGATACTTCAAGATCATAACTTCAGTGGTAACTTCACATTCTTCCAAACTCAGTTTTTTTGCAGTGTCAATTTTCACTGCAAGGTAGTGACGTGCAAGGGGAGATAAGCAAACCAGTTGGATATGTATAAGCTGAGATATTGAGTGGGGAAAGATGCCAACCTATTGTCATCCATCTGCTGAGGGTGCTTGTGACAACGGAAGCCTATGGCAAAGGGCCATTGTTTAGAAGTTTTCAATCCCTCCCACCATCACTGTCTCCCAAATCATTGTTTGATTGGCGAGTCACTGAACCGGCTGGTGTACCCAAGGCTGTTTGAAGTTGAAGGAGGAAGAAGCCTAAGAATGCTAAATGGACAAGGATTTTGATTTTTGTTCTAATTCTAAGCCAGTGTATCCCTTCCTGGCCAAGTTTTTAATTAATTAGGGTAGTCAAAGTCCAAAAAAGGGCTTCCAATAACACTTTGCCCAGGACCCAGTTTGGCGGGGGGGGGTTGTCATGTCCTTGGCTAATGAGTTTGCGGGCAAGTGGGTTGTGGGCCTTGGTTTTTGAGTTTTGAATACCCTAAATTCATGTCAGTTAGAAGGCCTATAACGGAAAAATATTTGGCCTAAGGCATAAGCATGGTAAGACTAAGAAGAACATGAAAGATGTGTAATCCAATTATTTAAGATATGCAATAAAAATACAGATCCCCCATTTTACATTCAATACAAACAAAATTCAATGTGTATATTGAATTGTTGGCTGCCTTCTAAGGTTCCCTGTGTGAGATCTGTAATTCAGAATCAATTGTAACCCTAAAAAAATATTACTCTAGAGCAGAAACTGACCTGGTTTTTCAGCTCTTGAAAAAGAACAACTACTTGTAAAGAAGTTGTATTTCTTAAAGCTATATGGTGATAATTGATGAGATATCCTAGCATTCTGCAGGTTCAGGCATTCAATAAATACTAGATAAGATTAAGAGTATCCAGCTGCTGGCATCATACACTATGAAAAAAATCAAACAGGTAGAAGTTGAAATGCAGGATACTCTTAATTCAACTTGTGTGATATTGCAATCTATTGCAATGCTAGCTTTTTTAACAGTGAGTGGATTGAAGTATGGCTGAAGCAATTTTTCATTTAAATCTGACAAATCTCTTTATCTGAAGCCAGATAACATAGTGGACTGTCCCCCAAATAGCTTAATGGTCTGATAAAACCAATTGAAAATAGCACCTGTCAATCATAAGCTCAACTCACCTGTCAATCAAAAGTTCAATTCCCACAGTCATCATCTCATCAACCCAGTGTACCTTCAATGAAGCTTCCAAGCCTTGCTTGTCTTGTGGTACTGGCTTTGGCCATGCCAGAATGGTGTAGTGGTACTGTCTGTCATTTATGCAATCAAAAAAGCCTTCCCCAGTTTGATCCAGAAACAGGAATTAGACCATATCCCACTTTGGCTGAATGTGGCCAGGTGATGAAAAATGGTGATATTTGCAAGCAAATACGTGAAAAGGCATATTATAAGTGCTCAAGAGCAGCTGGTTGTGGAACATTACATGTCGTAAATGTAAGGAAACAATGGGACGGAAGTGAAATATCAAAGACAGAATGTAGACATGAAAACAAATACATAGTAGACCAAAATATCAACACACCCATACTCCCATTCCCAGCACCTGCCCCCAAAGCACCTCCACCTACAATACAATTACCAGCCGCTAAAGAAGCACCATCATCATCAGGCTATGTTTATCATAAATGGATTTGATGGGTCACCAGAAATAAAGCTATTAACACTGGCAACCTAAAACATTGTGCCAAACAATATTTTTCAAAGAATCTAGCATTGAATGAAAATACATATGTTTTTAATTGTAGACAAGATACTACTAGCTGTGTCTTCATCTAAATGCAAAAGGATAGAAGATAATGTGAAGGGGATACAGAAGTGGATTTGAATATGTTGGGGATTACCTGCAGTGAAGATGTTTTTCAAAACTTCCTTCCCCTTCCCACTAGAGTATGGTTTTTTGAAAAAATTCTTTCTTTTCTGATTTAAGGTGCTAAATTAAGAAGAATGCCCTCAATCAATTTGGATTATCCATCTTCAAGCAGTTGGTACTTTCAAATGCTATGGTGAAGGAATTTTACAAAGCATTTTTCACAAAGGGGGATCATCCAAAGCCCTATTGGAATTTCTGCCACTTGACAGTTGTAAAAGATTTGTTTTGCTATACTTCAAGCTCTTGTTGAGAATGCTGTGGATTATGGGAGTGAAGTATCAATTAAAACCTCAACCACATCAAGACTTGATAAGTCAGACTCCAGAGATATGATTCTGCCTGACATTGCTCTAATCTGGATCATTGAAACTACTGTGGAATGCTTTCAGATACTTATCTTTTGGCTTTTTTTTTCTTTTCCCCAGTACCAACGCTGCCACAGATACGGTATCTGCCCGTATCTGCCATGTATCACTATGTATCTGAGCCCCAATAAAAAAAACTATCTGACCAATCTGCTTTTATTTGCAAGGAGATTCAACAAATTTGGTTTTTGGCCATGCAGCTTTGCAGAATTCTCCATGATACACACAGTGTATCGTATCTGTGGCAGAGTTGCCAGTACCCAAGGATTTTCTTTCATTAGAAATGTAAAATCAAACCTAACCAAGTCCCTTGTTTTGGTGTGCACCAGATGAAACAAAGGGAAACCTGAATTGCTGCAGCCTTCCTTCAAATATTTGTTGACTCGATGTTCAATATTGTGTATACCTGACAAAACTGACAGGAATAATAGCAACTTTTGTAACTGAGCTCTAGTGCACAAAATACTCCATTTAAGGTGATGAATTTGGAGAATCAAGAAATGGTGTGGATTTCAAAAAAATTTCCTAAGTGATAGGAATTTTTGCAATCCAAATGAAGGGGTGATAACAAGCAATGATAGCAAGAAAGGGGGATGACAGGGATGTTTCAAGACTACAGAAAGATATAGTGATTTTATCAAAGTCCAATCCCACAGAAAAAATTGGAAGTCAGCTAAGAGCAGTGGTGGGCCGCTATGGGCCCATTTAGCATTAGCATAGCAGCGCTAACAGCTGCTTTTTTGTGTAGTGTTAGCGCGCCGCTACACTGATTTGTAGCAGCGCTAACACTGGCCATTTATTGGTGTAGTGTCAGCATGCCTCTGGCGCCGCTACACTAGAGTGTTTTTAGCGGAAAAAAATGCCTAAAAATTGCTTTAATGCAGAGTAGTGAGTGCTTCTTTGCTCCCTGTGCACGTAGCGTTAGCACAGATGCGCAGAATTGTGCCCTGTGCGCAGATTTGGGGAATTGCGTGTAGTGTAAGTGTGAGCACAGATGCGCGGAATTGTGCTAATGCTACACTAAATGTTAGCGCATTTTTGCACCCCGTGAACATAGTTTTATCTCAGAAGAGTAGAAATGCACTAACGCTGCGCTGAATTGTAGCATTTTTTCACTACACTATGCCACACTAACGCTATGGTTAGTGTAGCTGGCCCACCGCTGTAATGAGAGGAATGGTAATGAGGTACTATTTACCAGACTAAATATAATCCCATACCTGGTACTTGCCCTGAGAACATTCATTTCAATACATGTCCAAAGCTTTGCCAAGGTTTTGCATGGACCTTTCAATTCCATTGATTCAACTTTTAGGGTTTCCCTGCCCATAAGCAACAATGCAACCATTACAATACACGTATTGTACTTGAATTACATTGTATCGTATTTTGTTTTGAGTACGTGTGTATTCGAGTACATTGTATCACCCTAGTCAACAAGTACAATACAAGTACATTGTACTCAGCCGGCAAGTACACAATTTGAAATATGTCTGTATCGTCTCAGAATTTGGGACAATACAAATACGGTATTCAGTGTATTCAGTGTATTTTCTCCCCACTGCTTTAAATTGCATTTTTTGTTAAAATTAACAATGCATTTTGCAGACAGTTAGCAGAAAAAATTGACTTGGGCAGGATTTGAACCAGCAAACTTAGCTTGAAGCTAAGACACTATACTAGAAGTGCTGCCCAGGTGCCTTTTTGTGCCCCATGTGCATAGTGTTAGTGCAGATGCGCGGAATCACACTAAGACTACGCTAAAAGCTAACAAGCTTTGGCACCTTGCGGTGTAAGACTCAAAAGTGGTTGTGAAACCCTTTTGCTGAATGGAGTTGCAAGCTCTGCCCTTCTATACTATCAGAATAACAAGACCACCAAGCTTAGCTTGGCAATTTTATATATAGTGATAGGGATAAGTTTGAGATGAAGCTGCTGATTGATATGTGTAAGGGTATAAAGATGTTATTGATTGTTGGTTATGTTGATGAAGTTGTTGTTGATGAATATGGTTCAGGGCAATTTTGGTTTACGATGATGATGAAAGTTTTAAATGTGTATTTCAATGTGTATAAATCTGTAATTGTTATGTGGCTATGACTTGTAGTTATGAAATAATATATAAGATGGATTTATTTATAAGGGTGGTTGAGATGATCTGATCCACTAGTGGGATGATGGAGGGAACAACTGGCAGGCAGAGGCCTCCTTATATAGACAAATGTGAGGGATTTTAGCCCCAGGGCACAAGCTTTTGAGGAATTTTAGCTGGCCTGAAGATCCAATGAGGTAATTTAGCTAGTCTAGTACATGCATGTGAGGGAATTTGGCTGGTGAGAGCACTGCCATGAGGGATTTTGGATAGCCTACAAGGTCCTACTACAAAGGAATGCATGTGCACCTACAAAGGAATTAAATATGCACTATGAGCTAATAAAGGAATTCAATACAACACAAAGTAATAAAATATTCAATATGCATTGAGTATGCAAAACAAGCCATACTGAGAGTAAAGAATCCAAAAGACATCCTGTGACAGGTTGAAATCTGTGTAACTTCTAACCTATGAGAGATATGGGGGTAGTTGTAGTGAGGGACTAGGGGTAATTTTACCTGAGGATTCCATTTCTGATGTTTTTTTTACCATATATATAATATATAAAGATATAATAATAAATTTTTATATTTTCTGCGTAGAAACAGAGTATTATTTACCACAGCAGGTGTAGTGTTAGTGCATAATTGAAAAATTGTGCTAACACTACACTAAATGTGAGCTCATTTTAGCTACACTAACACTATGGTTAGTGTAGCTGGCCCACCGTTGATTCAATACAGATAAATTCAGTGTGTATATTGAATCATTAGCTGACTTCCAAGGTTCCTTGTGTGAGATCTGGAATTGGGAATCAATTGTACCCCTAAAAAAATCCCACTCTAGGGTGGAAACTGACTTGGTTTGACTGATCTTGAGAAAGAAAAAAAAAAAAACTTAAAAAGAAGTTTTATTTATGAAAACTAGACAGTGATACTTCATGAGATATCCTAGGATTCTTCAGGCTCAGGTATTCAATAGATACTAGGTAACAGTGTGGCATCATAAACTATCAAAAGAAAAACAGGTGGAAGTTCAAAATGCAGGATACTCTGAATTTAACTTGTGTTATTCTGGAATCTATTACAATGCTAAAACCTTTTGCACAGTGACTGTGAATTGAAGTATGGCTGAAGTAATGTTTTAATGAAATTTAAACAATCTCTTTATCTGAAGCCAGCCAAAACAGTGGACTGTCTCACAAATAGCCTAACAGTCTGATAAAACAAATTAAACACAACACCTGTGAATCATAAGTTCAATTCACCTGTCAATCAAAAGTTCAATTCCCACATTCATCATCTCATCAACACAGTTTACCTTTAATGCAGCTTTCAAGCCTTGCTTTCATTGTGATACTAGCTGCCGCCATTCCAGAATGGTGTAGTGGCAGTGTCTGCCATTTATGTGAGGAAACAGGAATCCCCCTGTTTAAACCAGATCCAGCAATTAGACCATATCCTATTTGGGCTGAGTGTGGCAAGGTGATGAAAGATGGTAATATTTGCAAGGAAATGCGTGAAAAGGTGTATTATAAGTGCTCAAGATCATCTGGATGTGGAGCACTACATGTTGTAAATGTAAGGAAGAAATGGAATGGAAATGAAATATCAAAGATGGAATGTAGACATGAAAACAAATATGTAGTAGACCAAAATCCCAACACACCCATACTCCCATTCCCAGCGCCTGCACCCAAAGCACCTGCACCTACAAGAGAATTACCAGCCACTCAAGAAGAATCATCATCAAGCTATGTTTATTATGAATGGCTTTGATGGGTTACCAGAAATAAATGCATCAACACTGGCAATCTAAATCATCCTGTCAGACAATAATTTTCAAAGAATACAGCATTGAATGAAAATACAGATGGTTTGTGGACAAGATATCACTGGGTGTGTCTTCATCTAAATGCAAAAGTATATCAGATACTGCGAAGGGGATACAGAAGTGTATTTGAACATGTTTTTTCACCATTTGAGATCTTTGTCTTTTACTTCTTTCACTTGCTTCAGTAAGATTTTTTAAAATAAGTAAATATGCATAGAGAAGAAAAAAATGAGGTGGTACCCTGACCCAGCGTGGGTGCCAAGGTCCACTCATTGCATCTCTATCCCCAGTACCAAGGATTTGTTTCCAATGTACATGTAAAATCCAACCTAAGCAAGTCCCTTGGTTCTGTGTGCACCAGATGGAACAAAGACAAACCTGAATTAATCTAGCCTTCCCTCAAAGTTTGGTTGAGTCAATGTTCAGTATTATGTATGCCTGAAAAAACCGACAGGAATAAAAGCAACTTTTGTAACTACACTCCAGTGCACAAAATACTCAATTTAACATAATGAATTTGGAGAATTAAGAAAGGGTGTGGATTTCACAATTTTTTCCTAAGTGATAGGAATTTTCACAATACAAAGAAAGGGGTGATGATAGCAAGAAAACAACATGACAGGGATGTTTCAAGACTACAAAAGGCTATAAGTGATTTCTATCATGATCCAATCTCACAGGAAAAATTGGAAGTCAGCTGAGAGGAATGGTAATGAGGTACTATGTAATACTTCAGACCAGATATAATCCCATACCTGGCACCTGCCCTAACAGCATTAATTTCAATTCATGTCCAAAGCTTTCCTAAGCTTTTGCATGGACCTTTCAATTCCATAGATTCAACTTTTTCCCTGGCCATAAGGCAAGGCCAATCCTGGATTCCAACAGATTTGTTTTTTTGATCTTTCCATCAAGTTTGCACTGACAGGTCCATTATTCAAATAACTCACCACAAAGATTTGGTGTTGCATCTTGATACCATAGTTGTGACATACTCATCTGAGGAAACTATTTACATTAACTGCTTTATAGCAGTTACCTATATCAACAAAAACTAAATTATGTAATGGTAAGAAAGTCCCAAAATTCAGATTGATAAATGAGCCAAAGGATGAATACAATTTATAACAAACATGGAAAACATTGACTGCAATTTGGGGATAGTGTTGAGCTGAATATGCATATTGTAACAAGAGGTAAGCTGGGGAGTGGCATTTATTCTTTTCAATTCTGTGAGCTTTCTTTTTTAAAAGGACATGATATAATCGCTATCGTCTTGCCGTACGTCGACCATGTAGATATCGGACGGAAACCACGCGACAGCATTGTCTTCAAGTTTCAAACTCCAAAGCTTTTCGGTCGCTTCGTAGATTTCGAAATCGCTCATACACGAGATGTTTTCGAATGATCCGGTTAGATCCACCATTTCTACATCGATGCACTGGTCCTCCCATCCCTCCCCGATCCAACTGTAGTCCGGCTCGATCTCCATGAAGTTTTCAAAGCCGAGTGGTGAGTCTTCGGACCAAGTATCATCCAACAGATCATCCGAAACGTTCAAAGGCGAAAAATATTGAGCATCCCGCATGACAACTTCGGGACAGCTGTTGTAATAGTGCTCAGGTGTTTCTGTGCACGAATTCAGGGAAGTCCTCATTTCGAGTGGACTACAAAAATTGAACCCTACATCATGCGGCAAAGGGAAGTGTCAGTGAGATAAATAAAAGTCAAAAGGGTCACTACTTCAATATGATATAGATCTTCTCTTTAAAAGCGAACACGAATAGATTTCTTGAAATTTCCAATCAGCCAGCAACCTACACATGAGGAATCAAGACTGGATCTGTCTTCAGAGGTTAGGTCCCAAGAGCTAGTTATTGCGCGCAGTCAGAGAAATGCTGAAATCTGAGGCCTTGCGGACAAACGTGCCTTGACGCCACACGACCTGCGGTTATTCGGCCTCAAAGACAGTATGAAGGCTCTGTGCTGCTCTTCGATGCTTGATGGAGTAGTGCTCTAGACTTCACGCGGCCTGCCCTGCGAAGGAAGGAAAAATAGATTGTCAGAACGTTTTGATACGGAACCGAGGGTAAGGTGGTTGTTCTGTGTAATTGCGCCAAGCGATGGGGTCTGTAGACATTGTGGGAGGCAGAAGATTGAAGCCTATGCTCCAACTGAAGTCGCCTAACTGAAGCTCTGTTCAACGGTGAAAGGCGGCGGAGGAGCGTGGGGTGAGGGAGAGAAGACCCGTTTCGACAATCTGATAGACGTGTGCAATAGTCAATCACTAAATCACCTACGAAATGTTCGGATATAAATATCGAGTTTCCGCTCGAAGATCAAATAATCGACCAGTTACAAACGGATAGTCAAACAGCTGGGGTCGGCCTAAGAAAAATCCACCAGGGAATGTTCGAATTGAAGACCGGCAAAAGTAAATGAGGGCTTTCCGATTTCTGCTCCTACAATGATAGAGTGCCTAATATCCAAATAAAGGCCAGAAGATTCTCGCTATGTTGGTGATAAAGGCATCAAGCAACGTCAATCCTTTGCAAGAAAACTTACAAATAGTTTACAGAGAGATCAGGAATAAAAAAAAACGTAAATTGTTTCCGTTGACTGAGCTGCGTTCAAAGGCAAAAACTACTTGCCTTTACACTTGGGCTTCACAAGTCTTCTGCTATGTATCAGATGTCTGCACAAAGGATCTTGTGCTCCTTTCCCAAGTTGAAAAGGTCTTCTTTACACACACACACACCTAGCTGCATACATACATACCTTTACATCGAATATTGATGCAGATGGTCGATAAAAGCGCCGATTGATCGATCACCGCAGCCTACATGTTTGCTAGTTCGCGCAGTAAATGTTCAGGTGTGAAATGAGCAACAACCAAGAAATGTTAGTTCAAACTGCTCCCTCTGGAAGACTGTGGTGGCACTGGCACTGGACCCTGCGGGGATCGAGCCCACCCAGACTCTCCAATCAAGCATGTTGAGACCGATCCCATTTTTTGCTATCCATTGCCAAAGCTTCTATCGCTTGCACCTAACAGACGCGAAAGTTTCGAAACGCCCTTTCCTCTTCTTTCATCTATTATGTACAACTGTTTATCTACCACAACAGACCACAACTGTAATGGATGTAGTGTGCGCGTAGGTAGCTGGGTTTATCACTTCCTAGTGTTTGCGACATACACATTTACCTTCGCCATGTCATTTTGGTCACTTGCGTGCATACCTTTGTTGACTTGAAGGTTATGACACGCATCTTACATACCTTCTCGCGGAGAGCCTTTCTTTGAAGCTTCCAGCTAGCGACAAAGGTTTTAAAACATCACTATAGATCGAATATTGAGTAGTCGAACTTCCATATCGCTTGGTACATCACACTCATTCCACACTCAGTAACATACCGTGGTTATTCTGATATGTACCTGCATGTGTTCATCATGTTATAAATAAATGCCCACCTCGCCGATTCTCATGGGTGATATAAGCAAAAGTTTTATACGCTGAGGACAGTATAAAGTGGCAATAAACGGCAAGATTTGGGAACTTTTGGGAACCAAGCAAAAATCACTAGTCAACTCCAAGTGAAAATTTGGCGCCAGTCCGGGTGGGCTGAAACATAACGTGAGGCCCGCCCAAGGGACTGTTGATAAGTTGGCCCGGCATGATTGTGTTGCATGATTCCATCACTTTGGTTTATCCGCTTTACGGGTCCTGTGAACACTCAAACCTTTTCACCATTTGAAATATTTGTCGTTCACGTGTGTCACTTGCTTCAACAAGTTTTTTCGAAATAAATAATGTCAAATGAACCGCATGTCTCGCAATCGGGATTCGGATCCAGTCGACTCTCCACTTGATAGCGAAATTGGCGCAAGCACCGATTCCATAGTCCTCAGCAGGGAATAAGGGCGAAATCATTCTCCTGAATCAAGTGGCATTTCTTGAATATGTATCTTGAGATTGCTCCCGGATGCTCGCTCAGTCACTTGTTTCGACGAGGTCTATACTCACCTACAGTGGGCCATGAAATCAAAGGATGGCCTCAATCCAAGGGGAAAAAAAGTAAATGTATAGATAGAGATTTCCGAGCAGCAGATAGAAGTAACATAGCCAGATAAAGATATGCGTATGACAATAGCGATATTACAAGAATCATGTGAGATGATGGATGAGTATTGTAATGATGAAGAGGTAAACGATTAGGAGAAATGATCTGATTTGACAAGATACATGAAATGGATTTTTTCGACTTCCTAATCAGAAAACATGTGGGAATAAGGGTGGAAATTTTTACAAGAAATATAAATTATTTGCCAAGAAAGAGAAAGAAATCATGAAAAGATTGGGCCTATTTAGATGCAGTAAAAAGATAGCCCCTCCCCAAAAAGCACACAAAAAAAAAACTGAAATGAATGGAAGTCGGAAAGTTCAGCTGGAGATTTGAAATTGGCGGAATACTACTAGCAGTTGCGGATTGTCGGGGTAAGAGCGATGAAAGTTTCCTTTGTGGAGATGGATGTTTGAGGGTACATAGCGTCAATAACCAGGAATTTTGGTTAAAACCAGGGGCTGAAGAAAGTAGGTTTTGCTAGACGCAGGAGAAGATGATGGTGTGACGGCTTCTGAGTCTGATTCTTCATCTGACTCGTAATCGTCGTCGTCGTCCCCATCATCATCATCGCTTTCAAGATCCTCTTCAGACTCGCCATCCCAACCCCGTGTGGACATGGGTTGGCTGACTGGCTTGGTATAAGGTAAGGGTGCTGAGAAGATTCTTCTCTGGTATGCGCGCGGGGATGCCGGAATAGCTAGCTCGGGGCACACTACGTCCATATTTCCGTCATGGGTGATCCGTTCTTCCAGCAGACTCGGAAGAGATGGCCGGCGGGAGGGATAGGAGAGCGATGGGTGTTGATATCTACGGCGCGCGTAATATTCCACTGGAGGACGCCATGCTTTCAGGTAATTGACAAAATCCCGATGATATTGGGTGTTGGTGGGAGAGGTTGAAACGGGGTTGCGGGAGCTGGAAGAAGGTGGACTGGAACTGAACGCGCGTTCAGTAGTCTTTGCACGACCTTGCGTGTCTAGGAAAGTGTGAGCCGGGCTGGGGCCGTCCTGAAGCACACGGGAAGAATTTTCGGTAAGGGATGGAAGTTTAGAGGCCCCATTGGGACAAGTGGGCACTGCGAAGCTAGCGGAGGAAGCGTGGGGAACTTGATATTGGAGTTTGTTCGACGAGTTGGGCAAGCTTGTTGCAACGGCAGAGGAGGAGGCGGAGGGTTCATTCCTCGTGACCAGGCCGTAGATTCGCGAAGAAGTGGAAATTGCAGCGGCAGAAACGCTGTCGCTTAGAGAGGCCCTGCACTGCTGCTATTTGAAACATTCTGATTAGCAAAAGATTGAATTCACGCGTCATGAGAATAAACAGAGAGCTCTAACCTTTGCCCCATCACAACGAGCTGGAAGTGCCGCTTCTGAGCTAATAATAGTCTTTGGTTTGAAGGAGCCCTGTGACTTGGTCATGAGCGGGAGATGGTGGACGCGACATGGGAGTGAGCTACGCGAAGTTTGTGAAGTGCTGCGGTAGGGGTGGAACGCGTGCTGGAAGCGTTGATCACTTAGCAAAGTGGGCATGGGAACAGATGATGGATAAAGACAATGAAACCACGAAAAGAAACAAAATAGGATTTGTGTATAATCGAATAGATTAAGAGAAATGATAATATGCAGACACTATTGAAACAGTGGAAAACTACAATGGTCTACTTGGGAATTGTAAGATTCAAGAAGATCTAAAGTGAGAAAAGGGCAGCAATGGGTGGGAGCAGACGATGGTTAGAAGGGAAGAATAAGGCGTTGGATTCGGGACATTTGCCTGTGGTTGCATGGGTCATAATATATGCTCCACTGGGTCGATAGGTGTGGCTTCTTCGTGGCGCAACGATGGAAGCTGAACTGGTCGTCGAAGTTGGAGACTGACAGTTCAAGTCTGAAGTCTGCAACTAACTCTACTGTAGTCCTCCCAAAATGTTAACAACCGAGCTCCGGCTATGGAAAATCAAATAGGTAAATTGGGATGGACTGATAGATCGAAATATGCAATTAGGTAACCCGAATAGGCTCTGACAGGTGAGAAATACGTGACCGATTCTTGTTCGGCAGTTTTTATGTCGGCGTTGAGTCAAAGTGTAGAGTGTTCAATTGAGCTCTCTCCATCGGAAAATGTTATGAATGCTTCATTGATGACCCTCTCCATCGAAAAGAAGCTTCTTTGGCAGCCATTCAGTTTTCTAAGGCTTTCTCCAGTTTGCTCCACTGAAAAAAAAATTGTGTATCGATTATCCACCGCAATTCACTTTGTTAGACTCGACATGTCTGCCTGACTTCTGACGTTACTCACCGATGATAGCCATGGTGGCTGAACAATTTTTCCGCAACGCGGTCGGTTTGTAAAGATTCGGCAAGTCCTAGTCAATGACCCAGACTTATAGATTGCCGGGGCACTGCTCGGTTCCGCCGGGCACTCGGGAATCTGGACGACTGAGGAAACGCTTGATGTGCAACCCACGCATGAGAATCTTTTTTTATTTCAGTGCGGTCTCGATGCTGGACCCTGGTTGACTGGGAATCCGGATGTGAAGGTTTTTCCTTGGAGTAGAATCCATCCAGAACATGCAGTATGTATTCAAGACACACAACATGAAGTTCATAGCGTTACCCGGAATGACACTGGAATAACCCAAACGGCAAAAGCCCCGAGGGGTTTACGTATTCAGATATCATGATTAGCTGGATTGAAGTGGCGGGAAATCTGGGAGGCCAGTGACCTACGATTGGGAAGCATTTCAGTTAAATCAGTTCCGATCCGAGGATCCTTCGCGCTTTAGGTACTTTTCTTGAAATATACCCCGCAAATCGATCAGACTCTTTCCTCATCTTCCGCCCCAATCGACTTTGGTTCCGATGCAATTCTTAGTAGAAAGGTATTGGGGTACGTACTTATAAAAAACTGAACACGGGGGGGCCAGACCGACGGCGACATTGTCCATTACCTCAACCAGTAAGAAGCAGGGAAAATCGTCCTCGTTTTGGAGCGAATGAACCAAAGTTAGTTCGCCACCGCGACCCCCACAGTCACGGGTGCGCCATTATGATCTGAAGGGTCGCTCTCATGACCAGGAGGATGCAGCCATCGACTATGTATAGCATCGACTTCGACTCGTAGCGCCATCATGGCGCCTGTGAGTACTGGGTGTGATCGGATCTCAATCCTCAGTGTGAGATTGCGAAAACATGGGCGGCGATCGTGACACGCCCGCGACCGATCCCAGGGCGCGTACGAATTGGACCTTCGTTTGTATCTGATTGTTCATTTAATCCAGGTCTTCCTCTTTTTGTGTTTTGGTGCTTCTACATAAATCCGAAAATTGATTATGTTACCGCAAAGAATAGAGCCTCAGACATGCTGCAGATCGTGTTCCCTGCGGAAGCGAGTGTCTTTCGGACCGCCCATTTGAGAGGCTTTGAAGATCTCAAGTTCTCAATGTGATCTTGCATGGCACTATGTTATCTTGTCTGGCATTATGTTATCTTGCCTGGCATTATGTTATCTTGCCTGGCATTATGTTATCTTGCCTGGCATTATGTTATCTTGTCCAGTATTGATATTTTAGGTAGACAATTCTTCGGTGTTGATGGACAACAAAGTCTTCCAGTGACAAAACTGGGATGGTTTCTACATAGTCAAGGAAAATAATTTTCCCAACATATGTTTGTCCTCATTATCATCACACGAGGCCTGAAGACTGGACACAATGCACGAAAGGCATGTATTATGATTTTTTTCCCCTTTCAATCAAACTCCTAGGACTCCTAGGCGCCGTGTGTTTAAAAAAAGATCTCGGAAACTTCTCTGATTGAAAGGGGGAAAAAAACTCCCGATTTTGGGGCTGAATTGAGCCCCTCGACAAGCGCGCCAGTACGACATTTAACAACTGGAAAATTTCAAACAAAAAGCAGCAGCAGCTCTAATTCCTGGACAGAATCGAGCCGCTTCCCGAGGCAGGAGACTGTAGGGGAAGGAGGGAGGTGGAGTAAAACTCGGCGAGGAGGTGGAAAGACTGGACCTGTAATGGCATGAGCCTAACAAAGCCTCTCAAGCGAGAGCCCGGAGGGCAGCCGGGCCTATATATAGCTTAACAAATCCCCTCTTCGGAGGCTCGCTTCGCGCCAGCCTGGCACAGGCCCTCCGATCGAGGGACTTGGGTTAAGTTAGCAGCCGGGCAGAGTCTCTGTCTTGCCTGGAGGTCCCCATTCCCCCTGCTATACCGACAGGCGGGACAGGACCCAGGAAACCCCCGAAGTATGTCAGTAACGTAAATGTATGAATTTTTCAAAAAAAAAAAAGCCAAATCATACGCACAAAAGTGGTATGAATCGGTTTGGCCGGCAAAAATGTTACGCAGGAGACACAGTTCAAATGTATGAATTTTTGGGGAAAATCCCATAATCATACACACAAAAGTGGTATATTGAATCCACTCAAAACCCTGGCATGGCACACACAAAAATGGTTCAAAATGTATGAATTTTGGCTCAATCTTGAGGAAAGCCTTTCTAACTGACACATTCCCGAATTTTTGGGGGGCAATTTTCTCACTTTCTGGTGGATTTTCCTCTCAGCATATAACACACAAAAATGGTATGAATGGCTTCCAAAAATGTATGAATTTTTGCAAAATCCGGGATTTTTGGTTACCCACCTATATAGGGGGGTTTCCTTTGGGTCCTGTAATGGTTAATGGGCATTGGGAATGGACATACATACAACATAGCCCTGAGCTCGAGAAAGCACGTTGGATTGTACACTGTTTCTTTGCATAAATTGAGCGTGGGACAGCCCCCAATATCTCAGGTTGCGATGATGATGAGATCACGATAAAATATTGGGTTCATCGCACAATTTTCCTTCTCAAGAACGGGAGCATACATTGCTATATGTGCAATGTAGTTTCTACAGAATGCATTTATGAAATTGGTGCGACAAGATACTGTTCCAATCAATCTCGACTCCCTGGGGCCTGGAGTCACCTACATTTCGTGATCTCTCTCATGATGCAAACCCAATTGAAATCCAATTTGTTAAGGTTCAGAATCAAGACAACGGCCGTTGAGCGCCGTTTAACTGGAAACTTCAGGAAGTTAATAATTAGTATGTATGTATGCAGTGATCCGTTGAATGAGATATGGAACTAAATGTAGTTAAGAGACCGATGAAAGTATGCGCATGTATGCATGATGGAGGGTGGATCAAACAATTCGCATTTAGATGTGAGACTTCAAAAAAAAAAAAAACGCAGGAAGCTACAGTCAAGTAGTCTGAAGGAAAAGATGTGTCTACAGCGTGTATTTGTATGAAAAAGGGGTGAGATCACTAGGATTACAAATATCATGAGGTGAGACACATTGGGGATGACGGAGCAAAGGGACACATTGGCACAACAAGATAGGAAGGAAGGGAGGGAGGGGGGGAATCGAAGTAGGATCAAGATGAGCAACGAGAAAACAAAGGGGAAAGTGGGATGCTGGTGATATGAGTGTTATTGAGTAGTCATAGGATGAAACGGGCCCACTGAGCGCGACTGTCAGAAGTGGGATTCAGAGAGTAAGCTGTTCTGTGAAAGCGACGGGTGGAGAAAAGCTTTGATATGGGAACTTACAAGGACATAAGACTCGACTCTTCCCCGGAGCCATGAGACCAGTCCGTTGTAGTGTATCGATGAGTACGGGAACAGGGCTGAGGTTTCGGCATTGACAGCGCTCCAGTCATCTAACAGACACACAAAAAAAAAGGTCAGCACATGAAGATCTCTGATAACGAAGACGAATCAAGCGGATGAATCACCTTTCATTTGTTGACGAAGGGCCAGATAATCGGCAGTCTTATCGGTCAGGATAGCGTCGACGCCCCATTTACAAGCTTCGATCATTTCCTGACGATCGTTGACGGTCCAGACGAGCAGACTCTTGCCGGCCTTTTGACAGTCTTCGCGGAACGATAAGCCTTCCCATCCGACCAGACAAGAGAACTTCATACTGAACCCTTGGCAGGCCTCCCAAAAGTATTTCCGGGCCGTCAAGGGCGAGCTCCCGATGTAGACCTTCCTGAGATCGGGAAGATGTCGGGCCGAGGGGTCCAGGAATTTCGGGTGCCATAGGCCGAGTACCAGACGGGGACTGAGCAGAGTCGCATGGTCCTCAAATCGCTCGATGGATGCCTTGATCAGTCTGAACAACCTCTCAGGGTCATTATTCGGCTGTATCAAGTTTTGATGGCCAAGACGGAATTAGAACAATGTACATAAAAAGGGGGGTTGCGAATGAGAGACTCCGGACCTTGCAGTCGATGTTGAAGACCACATGTTGATTTTCCTTGAGCATCAACAAGTCCATCGTCTCATCGAAGGTAGGGATCTTCTGATGGGGAGCTTTGAGGGTCCGGAAGGCATCGATCCCATCCACATATGGCAAGCTTCCAATCATCCCCTGACCATCGGTTGTACGCTCGAGGGATGGGCTAGATAAGAAGGACAGGATGAGGCTTAATCCAACGCTGGACATGGAAGCAGATCCCTCACTCATGGAACATCAGGACGACGTCGTCGGCGGTAACGTGGACATCTGTCGGCCGTAGGATTTGCAAGGACAGACCATGGAGATACATCGTCAGCAATCAAGCATTCAGACCGGGTCAGGAATAAATCATGTAAGGCTTACCACTCTCGATACCCTCTGCGCCATCCTTGATGGCTGCTTCAAATGAGCACAGCGTGTTTTCGGGGAAAGTAGCAGAAGCCTACACACACCATCAGAGAGATATTCGATAAGCGAGAGATTCATAACTGCTGTCCATTGTTTTTTTTTTCTGCTTCTTATCACGAGCTAAATCTAGAGAGTGGGCAGAGAGTCAAGTCAGAGATAAAGTCACTGACCCCACGATGGCCCCAGCAGAGGGGCAGGCCATTATTTGGCTTGTTCACAGCAGCAGTTCCAGTGTCTTGGTCGTCAGTTATAGGGAGGCCTGAAGATTGAAGACTATCATCCGAGAGGGGCTGGTGTTGAGTGGCAGGCATGATAGTGGCGGTAGTATGTATGTGGGGTGCTTTGAGATAGGAGTTATAGGAGTGGTGCAGTTAAAAAAGTTAAAGCTGTCTTCAAACTCTGCGCTAGTCCAAGCTAGCTTAAGTTAGCCTCCCGATAAGAACGGGGACGCTCCCCGAGACATCTTACCCTTTCCGGATGCCGCACATGCAATTCAAGCTGAGCACACGGGGGGGGTGTCGGCTCCTCCCTCTACTGACTCGTTTCGCCATCCCAATCCGTCACAGGACTCAACAAGGCCAGACGCTTTCCATTGGCAACACACAAACCTATCCCACAATAGTGAGAGTGTCCATCTTACGGAGCCGCAGAGTCTCGGCGGTGGGCGAATCTGGAAGCAATAAGTAGAAGCCATGTGTATAATGCTAAGGTGGATCCTCATTACCCCATTGAGGAGTAATGAAAAGTCTGATTTGCATTCACAATACTCAGACTTGCCACTTCCAAGCTGTCTCCAGGGATTTACTCGCTTGCCGGTGAATAACACTCCCCGGCGATGTTCTATGTACAGGTTTGTGGAATCTCACTCGGAGCAAGTACACACACCTTTTGCCTGCTCATTGGGGTGTGATTGTGTAGGATTTTTGTTACTGGGGCCCACTTTGCACCCTGCGGGCGAACAAAATTGCTGGCTGGGTACAAGTTGCTCCTGGCCGAGCAACGCTTGAAAAGTGACACTCGGATCCGGGTCTTGAACAAGTGAGGCCAACTCGCTGGTCTTAAAAAGCTCTCCCTAAAACATCTTGAATTGATTGCACTTGTTTTACTTGCCATTGAGCTTGCCGATGCATATACATCTAGAGGCCATCAAGCCCATGGAAATCAAACTTTAGCTCACTTCACTTTCTAAACACACAAGTTCACTGAGAATTCAGCAAAGCCAAATTTCCTTTTGTTGATGAGGGCTCCTTTCATTACTGCGTGTGGTGAGCAAATACGTACTTAGTAGGATCACATCATGGGTAACCGATACACAGATATTAATATTTCATTATGTATTTCTGCTCTACTTTTTGTTTCCAGATTCCGTCAGGCGAGTCTCGGTGACCACAGTATCAAAATATATAGCCGGAGCAGCGCCTGGCTCTGGCAAGGATCCCGGAACCCCGTGTAGCCCATGTCTCTCCTTGAGAAGACCTTGTCCCTGAATCAATCAGGTCGATAAAGAAAAGAGAGTACACAGGGAATCGAGGCCAGAACATCGTTAGTGCAACAAGGGTAGACATCAGGCCCATGGCGCTGTCCAAACCACATGGCCAGGTGATAATAATAGGGAGACACCCAGCTGCAGGCAGACGGCACAGAAAATTTGCCAATCAGGCAATTCAAAAACCACGTGTCCTCGATACACCTAAACAATTGGAAACTGGCCATTGATCTCAGTGTGTGCTGGATCTGAAATAACTCCCACTCCCTTACAGGGTGGGAGCTTCAGATAACCCTTTTTTTGTGAGCTCATAGTCCATTTTTGCTTCACTCATAATGGTGTCCAGAGAAAAGCAATCCCAGTGGGGATGGCAACATTTGTAAAATGAATGTCCAAATGAACTTAATGAAGTCAAGTTGTGTATTATAAAGTCTCTGATAATGGTGGGGTTTACACTTTCTCTAGCCATGACCACATATTGGCCCTCTTGTATAGTAGCTACTTAACTTCTGCTAGATACAAGCAGTTCAACAGTTCTGATTCTCTGTTCCTTCTGAGGGCCTTTTCTCACCTAGGTTTGCTCATCCAAGACTGAGGCAATTTGTCCCTCAGTGAGATTGAGTTTAATTACATTATTACGCCAATGGTCTGAGCCACCACTGTAGTCTAGCATGCTCTAATGGCACTTACAGATTCTTGCTGTCTTCCCCTTTCTCATCAGCTATCATTTAATAAGTATGGGATGTACAGTTTGTAAGATTATAGGCATCGGTGACATGGCTACAAACCACAAAGTGGCTAGGAAGCTGTCACAAGACTTAGCTGCGGATATCTGTAAGCATATGCATACATGATTGAAGCACCCACTGTCCTGTGTCGTAAACTGAAATTCAATCCTATTGATTACAGCAACGATCACAGCGAACAGGAGGAAGAAAAAACAGAGGACCGAACAGAAAGGAATAGAAAGTAACCAACCAGGTAAGCTTAACTAAACTAACTCTGGAGGTCTAAAAAGGAATAGAAAAACTTACAATAGGATTCTATATCTTCTCCTAGTTGCTAGCGACAGGAAAGAAAACAGAAGAATAACCAAAGCCCATCCAGCAGGAAAAGGCAACGGTAAGTCTAACTGCAAGAAGTGATCAGATTGAGCTACGACACTGAGGAAGCGCAAGCTGATTTCTCTTTTACATAGTGAAATCCAGCACGCTACTCGATCGTATTGGCTAAAGGAGGAAAGGATCATTCCTAAAGACAAACCAGTCAGAGTAAGAGATATTTGCTGAGTAGAGACCGATACAATGATCAGGGAGCTAATGTGACTGCAACCTTGCACACTATCATCTCATGAAGGAAAGAGTTCATCAACTCTATATTATTCTCATTGTTATCATTTCATCTATCTTGCTCTTCATCTCATTCTCTTCACTCCTGCTCCTAGGTTTGTTGCTGTTTATTCTTTCTCTTTTTCTTTTAGCTATACACTTGTGTCTAGTTTAATCTAATAAAATGAAATCTAGACTTTTGGATTCTTTCAGATTTACAGTCTCGATAGCTAGAACCAACACCTCGCAATCGAAAGTCAGGAGCAGGCCGTCAGCATGGATAACTCCGATAGTGACTCGAGTTCAACATCAGGAGAAAATGTGAAGGTATCAATGAAGATTCCAAAATTCAACGGAGAAAACTTTTCGATCTGGGAAAGGAAGGTACAAATGTACTTGCAAGAACTTGACCTACTGGAATTCATCGAGCTCCCGTTACGGCCAGACGTCGGCAGAAAAACCAAGAAGAAAGCTTTTCGAACGGCTAACATTCTGTGTAACAATCTTACCGATGAAGTTTTCAACACCGTCGTCACCAATCCATTAGGGACTTGTGGGGACACGGGGAAGAACCACGTACGGTTCATGCCGAACGGGCTGCTGCGTACGGCTGCCGCGCACGGGTGGCCGGGACTCGCCGCCCTTCCGTCAATGCACAGTGATGCTTCTCTTAGGTGCTCACATGTTCGGCGTTTCTTAGGAGAAACGCCTAGGGAAACCCGGAGACCAGGGAGTGGTCTCCCAAGCTTCCCGTGTGTGGGTCTGGGGGGAGAGGGTCTCAAAGGTTGAGACCCGGACCCCGGCGATGTTTGCCGAGACTCCAGTGAGACTCTGCTGCTGTTCCCGCTGTGGAGGCGGGTCGAGAGCAGGGTAACACGTGAGAGTCCCGGGACTAGCCGAGGTACTCCCCGGAGCAGAAAGACACCCCCAAAAAAGGGGGTGAGGCAAACGCTAGACCCTTCGCTTGCTAGCGTGGGTCTAGCTGTGGCTGTGTATCGTAGGGCGGGTGGGAGGTGTCGAAAAAGAAACAGGGATGAGGGGATCCAAGATTAGGGGTTGGTGCAGGTGAAAGGGTAAGGTAGTCGGTTCCAGGGTGAGGGAGGAGGAGGAACTGACGGGGGGTTGGAAGGGAAACCGTGTTAGGTTGCGGCTCTTCCCCTCTACGCACGGACCTCCTGGAGTTCTCCGTCCTGCTGCGCGGCTGGGAAGCTGAGTGCGCAGCCACCAGGGCAGGACAGTGGGTGAGGTCCGGGCTGCGGGACGGCGTCCTCCATGGACACGCCTCCGTTCCCGTTGCACTTCCACTAATGCTCCATCCATTAGGGACTTGTGGGGACACGGGGAAGAACCACGTACGGTTCATGCCGAACGGGCTGCTGCGTACGGCTGCCGCGCACGGGTGGCCGGGACTCGCCGCCCTTCCGTCAATGCACAGTGATGCTTCTCTTAGGTGCTCACATGTTCGGCGTTTCTTAGGAGAAACGCCTAGGGAAACCCGGAGACCAGGGAGTGGTCTCCCAAGCTTCCCGTGTGTGGGTCTGGGGGGAGAGGGTCTCAAAGGTTGAGACCCGGACCCCGGCGATGTTTGCCGAGACTCCAGTGAGACTCTGCTGCTGTTCCCGCTGTGGAGGCGGGTCGAGAGCAGGGTAACACGTGAGAGTCCCGGGACTAGCCGAGGTACTCCCCGGAGCAGAAAGACACCCCCAAAAAAGGGGGTGAGGCAAACGCTAGACCCAGATCTCAAGTTGCCTGGGGGCAATTGAGCCTGCGTTGCTAGGTACTGACCCGCCAGACCCGGAGGGCAAGACAAGAGGAGAGTGCGGTGGGGAGGTAAGATGAATTACACTAAGGGGTTAGGTACATGCATCCAACATTCTTCTAGTCTAGCCAAGAGATCATTAGTTCTCCTCATCTCTTCCTCGGTGAAGTCGCGGAGGTAGAGTTTGTAGGCATCTGAGACCCAGCGGCCTCTGATGCGGATCTCACTGATCGGAACACCTAATGCCACTTGGATTGATGCGCCACCGACTCGGAAGGAGTGGCCGGATACTCCCTCGAATCCGCAGGCTCCCCAGATCTTGGAGAGAGCACGGGTAGTCTGAGGCTTGGTGAGGTGGACTCTTTCCCCTTGGTGGTCGGTGTAGCCGAACAAGGACGTTTTGGCTCCGCCAGCTTCGGCCAACCTTCTTTTGACCGCAAGGACTGGGCAGAGCATGTGAGGGAGCTCTTTGAGGTATATGATCTGAGATTGGCCGGGATCGGCCGTCTTCGCGCCGCGGATGGTGAGCTTCGCGAGGTTCTCCCTTTCTTTGTAGACTAGTTCTACGTCTGTGGTCAGTAGTGAGGCCGTTCTTCTAAGGGGTCCGCTACCTTCGTTGTAGGTGAGCTCTGCCAAGCGGGCCATCCCCCAGAAAGCGACCACGCTCAAGTCCAGCAGCGCCTTTTGGAAGGGGTCGCCGTCGATGAGTAATTCAGTCAGCTTCACCAGGTTCTCGATGGTGACCGGCTTCTTCTTGGGCTTCTTCTCCGTCTCTGCGTCAACGTAAGCCGAAGATTTGAGGAAGGTAGCCACCTTTGTCTTGGAGTCTGAAGGGTACACGGCGTTGTGGTATACGTGCCACATTTGCAGCCCGGCGAGGTACTTGCTGAGTGTGTTCGCCGAGATCTCGTGGGTTGTCGAGGATTCAGCGGTCCTGCCTGCCCAGCAGCAGAAGTCGTAGATATCTTGGGCCGTCAAGGGCAGTCGGAAAGATGGCTTGCCGGTATCCCGGGCGAAGTTCTGATACTTCTTGATTGCGGCATTATAACTGAGCAGGGTGTTCCACCTGTAGCCCAGGAGGTAGTGCCTCTCTTGGGCGGTGGGTTCTCGGGGCTCGGAGCCGTTGCTTGTGATGGCTGAGAGCCTTTTTAAATCTAACATCGCGGATGTTTGTCTTTGGGGATATAAAAATGGATTGCTGGAAGAGTGGTCATCTGGGTACAAGGGAGTAGGCTATTTAACACACAGATTGGAACATTCTATGTTCCAGGTCTAAAGGGACAGTGATAGGGATTTGGAGTTGTGGGTTTCTTCCCTCTCTATTGCCCCTAGATAGTGCGTCCGCGACGTTGTCGCCTGATGAAACCCTCCTAGAAACTATGTCTAGCTCCATCTCGACCAGCAGTTTTTGTATGATCTTCCATTCGTCGTTCACCGCTTGGTGTTTCGACTTCCGTTTCAGGATGACGCTTTCGGTCGTAGTGTTATCGGTCCACACGATAATAGTTTTTCCGCGTTTCACGCTGAGTTGGGCTAGGGCTATCAGGCCAAGCCTTATCGCGACCGTTTCAAGCCAAGCGATATCCCGTTTTGGCTCGGGACCTCTGTCCCAGTCTTTGGTGAGTTGAAATTGGGCCCAGCGGCGGCCTATGGTTATTCCGATGCCGTAGCTAGTCGACGCGTCTCCCATCCACCCGATTTCGATCGGATCCGGGTCTCGTATCATTCGAGTTTCCTTGAATGAGAGGAGAATGGTTAGCCACTCTTGCAGGTCGACCCTTGCGCCGGGTGGTAAGGGTAGGTCCTTGGATCTATATACCCATGCGTTCATCCATCTGTATAGGCTATTTAGGTAGCATCGGAGTTGTGGGAGGAGGTATGAGACGTGGTTCAGTCTCCCTGCCATCACCTCGACTTGCTTGAAGGAGAACTCGGAGCCGGTCTGGAGGAACTCTTTTATTTGTTGCACCCGCTGGTATTTCTTGTCGTCGGGTAGGCGTACTGTCTTCCTGGTGGCGTTCCAGATGAATCCGATATACTTTTGCTCTTCTTTGAAGGGCGAGTACTTTGTTGAGTTTGTTTTGACTCCTAGACTTTCCGATCTGGCCACGATGTGGTCCATCTCTACTTTAGAATCGGGGTGTTTGACAAATAAGTTATCGTCCACCCAGCGGAAGACGGTGACTAGGTCGAATTCGTGTAGCATTAGTTGTTTCCAGGCATCTGCGGGCCTACCAAAGGAGCCACATCCTGCCACGCCTCCGAAGGCGATCCGGGTGTCAATGAGGATCCCACCGTTGAAGTCCCTGACCATCAGGTAGGCCCATTGAGATTTCGCTGTTGGGATCTGGCGATAGGCCTTCTCCCAGTCGAAAAGGGCTAGGAGGAGGGGGCCTGTTTGCCTCCTAAAGAACTTAGAGACGTTCTCGAAGTCGTCCCAAGTGGTGGCGTAGTCCAGTTTGTCGACAAAGGAGTTGACTGAGGGTGTTAGAGGGTTGTTCCTCGGGAAGGAGAGGTCGTTGATCGGTCTGATAGATCCGTCTCCGTTCACCGCTGCGCCAAGTGGGTTTGTTCGGAAGAAACTAAATTTCTTCATTAGTTGTTCATGGGTGTACGGGCCGAACATTCTTCCCGCTTCTACCTCTTTCTTCATAGATTGCTCTATCTTGTCTTGGGCCAATAGTGCAGATTGGTGATTGGGGGGGGTGAAGTATGGGGTTGCTGGGCCCAAGTTGTGGTTCGGGATCCCTTGGTCGAAACCTTCTTTGAAACCTCGTATCACGTCTGAAAACTCTTGGGCGAGGCCTGCTTTCTCGAGCGCTCGTTCCCACTCATCTACGTTCATCTCACATTTTATGGCATCGGGCCAATCTGGAGTGCCCTCTTTAGCGGGTTCTGAGTGGAGGGGGTTGTTAAAGACTAACGGTGACGATT